AAGTGTCCTGGAAACGGTGACCTCGTCATCGTCGTTCAAGACGCCCTCCTCCATAAAAGACTCGAAGAGGGGTTGCTGGAACAGCGCCCAGCGCGCATCGTCTAGGCCGTCTCCGGTGGAGATCACCTGCAGAGCCATGACCGACTCGCTTTCTGATAACCTGGAGAGGGCCCGGGACGAGGGGGAAAGCACCACGACGGTCTGCTCGTCGGGAGCGGTCTTGGCTCTGCCGGTGAGTAAGACCTCTGTCTCCTCCGGAAGGCTCGGAAATTTTGTCAGCTGGCCAGCCTTCGCCTTCAGGGCTGCGGCGGGCTGTTCGGCGTCTCCAGGGACGGTCCCACGACCTCCCACTGGCGCGGCGGAGTTGGAGACCCAGGTGCCGCGCTCGACGCCGAGGAGCCCGCCGTCGACAGACGCTGCAGGACCTGGCTCTGGTCGTTCATCATGCGCAGCATCTGCGCCATGTCCTGGCCCCGCTGTGTCACGATGGCGCGCAGATGCTCTTGGGAATCCTTCGGCTGCTGAACTTGGGAGGGCGCTGAGGACGAGCCGCTCTCGCACGCGCGGCGCCTCGATGCTGGTGGAGGCCCCGTCCCCGTCGCCTTCGGCAGCTCCGTCGGGTCGACCGGGGCCATCTCCACGTCCGCGGGGTCCGGCTTCACCGCGCCGCCCTGGCCGATCATCCTGTTGGCACGGATGTTGCGGTAGGCCATGGGGGTCTCCGAGCGCCGCCCCTTCTGGCGATTGTTCAGCACGGGGATCAGAAAGTCGTACGTCTCCTCCCGAGGGCCCGCGATCCGAGGCCCCTTGTTGTCGTGATAGCTCATTATTAGGGAGCATTGTGTGCAATTCCACCAGTGCCCGTGACCATTGCTGTCGTACTTCAGGGCGGAGATCGGGCGGGCACAGTTCATCTGAAACACGCCCAGCCCCTTCAAGTGCTTCAGGGTGCGCTTGGTCCACAGGCGATCCTTCACCAAGCAGTGTAGAAACTCCTTCGACCTCACCGCGGCCACCAGGAGGGTGAGCACGATCAACTCCGCCCAGTTGGTCAGGACCTTGGGCTGCCGAGCCTCTGAACCCGTCGCCGTCTCCGCCTCTGTCGCGGAGGCCGTCGCGGCGATCGGATGGCGAAGGTCGAGAAATGGGCTCCTTGCAAGCTGCTCGCACCAGTTCCTCGAGCCGTAGCTGCTGAGGATCCTTGGAAGCTATGGCGACGTCGGCATGGCCCGCCCACTGAAAACCCGGGAGGCCCTCGGAGAGCTTACCCTGCCAGTCGTCCTTCACGAGGAAGCTGCTCCCCGAGGCATCCGTAACCCGCGTAGAGCGCACCGAGCCCAAGGGTCCCAGAGGAACCGGAAGATCTGGACAGCTCAGAGGAGACCACAAACACGTTCGGGGAGCCAGATGAACACGCCTCAGAACACTCCCCAGAATCACATAGTAGTCCTGTCCGTCTTTCGTCCCGTCTTTGTCAATACCGTCGTCTTCGTCTCGGATACGGCCGTCGTCACGGTTCGGATTAGGACGGAGATCGGAGAGAAGAGAGGACTGCGGAGGAGGAGAGGGAGCGCGTGCCCGGTGCATTCCTTGGAAAGAGGGCCCCTCCGGGCCCAAACCTGCGTCCCGCGAGTCCCCAGAGGAGCCCCGGGGAGCCCGAGAGGCCTGGAGGAGGTGGGCGGAGGCACGAGCCATGTAGCCCTCGTTCGCGCCGACTCGAAAGCTGTCAGCCCTCAGCCTAGGGCATGCTACAAGTAGCTCAGCTGGGCGCTCGTACTGGTCCGGAGGGACCATCTTGTTCACAAACAGGCACCTATGACCCGAAGGGCGGCGGGCCAGGTCTGTAGAGCACCCCAGTTGGCCCCGAGGACGTCCTGGAGGGAGATTGGCATGAGGGGAGGGATGTCCGCGTCCATCGCGTCGAGCTCCAGGACGCCCATGCATCGCTCGATGCCTGTCGGGACAAGCACGCTGTGCAAAATCTCCACGGAACCGCCGATCCCCCGGGCATTCCGATGCCGAGGGGGGACCCTGACTGACCTGTAGTCTTTCTGCCTCAGGTCGCGGTCCCACGCGAGGAAAGCGCTCTGGCCTACCAGGCCCTGGCCGGCCGCTGCATCCACGACCATGGAGCCGGGGGGGGGCCCTCAGACGCCCCCCCGCCAGCTGCGCTGGCTCACTTGAAGCGCCTCCTCCGGCGTGATCCCGAGCCTTGTCGATCCAGTCCTTGCACTCCTGCAGCGCGATGAAGACCGCGCCGCACTCGCCGCCGCCGTCGTTCAGGAAGATGAACGCGGATGGCGGAGAGTGCTTCGGGGCCGGGGAGTTCGGACATTCGTCACCCCAGTGCCCCTTCTGCTTGCACTTCCGACAGCGCGTCCCCTGGATCACTTCCGAAATCGGGAGGCGGGTCTTACGATCTCTCACCTGACCCTTCTGGCTCCGACGCCTGCCGTCGTCTCGCCCAGATGGAGAAGGTCGCTTATCAGGAGCTCCTGGAACTGGAGGAGGACGCTGAAAGTACTTGCGATCAACCTTCAACTGCCGCTTGTAGTCCTTGTTATGCTTCCACGTCTCCTCCGCTCTGCCTGAAGCTGGGCGAGGATCTCCGGCACCTCCTCTTCCTGCAGACCCTTGTCGTCTATGGCATTCAGCAGCGTCATCTCGTCCTCCGTGTTCATCGAGCTCACATCGCTGAACTCCAGCATGACGTCCTCGATGTGATGGAAGTCGCCAGCGTTCCACTCTTCGAAAGACTGAGGAGGCCTCTCCGTCACTAGCGTCGTCTTGGCCCTGGAGAAGCTCAGCGTTTCCTTCTTGGTCACGTCTAGATCCCGAAGAGCTCGCACCGTGGACTCATACGTCCTGGAGTCTCGCGTGAGGGACCTGACCAGCTGGGCTCCCTGGATGTCAAGGGCCGCGCCCTCCTCCAGGAACATGCGTTTCCATTCATCTGGGAGAGGGAGCCCCTGACCTGATAGCTTGTCGAACTGTACATCCACTCTCGCCGTGTAGTCACACAGTGATTCTGAAGACTGCCGATGGAACTGAAGGAGACACTCCCTCGCCGCTCTTCTTTGTTCATCCCCCTGTTGGGGCGGGCGCGAACCAGCTACACCTACGGGGGTAGCGCTGTGACGCCGCGCATCTGGCAACATTCGAACGGTCACCAAACACAAGTTGCCAGGCGCGTGTTGGCCTTCAGTTGCCCATTCCAAGGCGCGGGCAATGATGGAGAGAAGAAATGGGGCGTGCATGTGTATAGTGTGGGACGTGGCACTTACTATTCTGATCGTGGGTCGCCCACATATTTTGTCCCAAAAGTTATTACCTCCGCCCCCATTGAGGCTGCGCCTGCCTGGCGCTATGCACACACGTGCAGCGAGGAGGAAGGGCATGATGGTGATGATGATGATGATGATGATGATGATGGTGAGGAGGAGGAGGAGGAAGAGGAGGAGGAGGAGGAGGAAGAGAACGCTTCCCTGACGCAAGAGCCTGGTGAATTCAAGTGGCCCGTCCGTTTGGTGACATCAAAAACAAAGTTAATAAATCCTCTGGTTTGCTACTGTTCACTGCCACCATATTTCCCTCCATATCCGAGTTCTGATCGGAACTCAAACAATGCAGCGAAGGGAAGCAGGCCACCTACGCTGACCGCGTTACCCCGTTTGTTTGGCGCGACTCCAGTTGGGCTTCGCCCTGTTGGTTCCCTTGTCGAGAGTGAAGGAGGAAGAGCGACACGGACAAGGAGGGAGAGGAGGATGACACAGGGGAGGGGAAGGAGGAACGACTGTTACGGCATTTCGCGCTCAATGGGGTGAGCAACAACACAGAGTCGTGAACATGGCATCGCGTTCCTGATCTGGAGAAGCGTGCGAATCCGAGATATCCCAAACGTTGGTATCAAAACCCTGGCCTTGAACCCCTCTTTGAATTGCAACTCATTCTTCGCATGCTCTTGCGCATGCGAAATGCACGATAGAAAACGGATGATGTTTTCCACATCATTGCTAGCACTCCCCGTGCGGAAACCCCGCGATCCAGTCAGCAAGCTCTGCAGCCATAGACTGGGCACATCAGAATGGCACTGAAAACTGCAGAATTGTCTACCCCACGTGAGTGTGCTCCACTCGCTTGCTGGAGTGGTGCCGTATGACCCCTACTGCCCCGACTGCTGACGTGCACTATCCTACTACACGACCACCCTGCACACAATGTGACAAGCCGCACACATGCATATACAGCACACACACGCATACTCAAGCACACGCACGCACACGTACACACACATACGCCCACTGGTACGCCAAAGTGCACAGCGTGATAATATCACACACGGAAGCATCTGCTTCAACCGTCAAGCCAATATCTGAACGTTCACGCATGCATCTTCTAACCAACGTGAACGCGATTAGCATCGCATCCACCCGGAGCTCCATAGATCGACTTGGAACTGCATCAAGGCTTGACTCACGCGACTACTACCAATGTGCATTCGGTAGCCTTAGCGTTGACACTCGACGGGAATACGCGCGGCAATCTAAACGGTCGCCGGTAAGATTTGCACGATGGGGGTTCTATCAATGCTCTCGCCAGTAAGTTGGGAACGCGAGGAAGGGAATTAGCGGGAGGAGAGGGCGAGAACAATAGGAGAGGGATGGAGAGAAAAAGAGGAGAAAAGAGAAATAGAGAGAGAGAGAGAGAGAGAGAGAGAGAGAGAGAGAGAGAGAACAAGACAATTACGGGGACTGGGAGAGATATATGTGCATATGAAAGGAGAAAGAGGGAGGGAGGAAGGGAGGGGGGGAGGAAGGGAGGGAGGGAGGAAGGTAAGTGCACGCAGTCTTACCTCACACACAATGCGCACCCCTCCGTGCCCGACCCTCCTAAGCCCAGGTCCGCCCTAGCTCGTGTAGCTGCACTCGCCCCGCCACCAGTGCCCCGGTCCTCCACCGTCGGTGCAGTCTCGAAGCCCTGAGCGCTGCTCGGCCCTCCAATCACTGTTCCTGGACCGGCTTCGCAGCCTTTGGCTGCTCAGTCGCTTGGGTGAGCAACTTCAAGAGGCCATCGCTGGCTGACATCTTGCAGCACGTAGTCGACAGGCCGCCGACGACCTTCGGGCTCGCAGCGAAAGACGCCACGAGCCGAGCAGCCAGAGATGCCTTCGCATCCTCTGGCGAAAAGAAAAGGACCTGCAAGGGCGAAATGTCACCAAGGCGACGCCCGACCGCGGCGCCGGTTTTCTGCTCAAGTGCAAGGGCCTGGGCTTTCTGCAAGCCAATGGCCTCGCACACGCGAGCGCCAGATCCTGCCGAGTAGCCCTCCAGCATGGGGGCCACCTCCGTGTCGATCGAATCGCACAGCCGTGCGAACAGAGCGTAGCTCTTCTTGACCTCGGAGACGCAGGCATGCAGAGAAACAACAGACCCATCTTGAAGAAACGCCTGCGCCTTCTTCTCCGTCATGCCAGCGGTCTCGGGGAGGGCGACCTTGTCGGCGAGCGCCGAGCACTCCAGGAATGCGCCCGAGAGGACGCCGAACTGCTGGGCCAGTGCGCCGGTGCAACTCTCTTGCAACGCCTTGGCGCGATGCTCGAGGTGCTGCTGGAACACGTCGGCGAAACCAAACTCGACGCCGTGCTTGATGGCGTTTGCAGTGACCTTGCACTCCGCCAACACCTTCTCGACAATATCTGCGTGGGTTGCGGCGGCCGCGACGTGCCATGAAATGCAATATTGAATCATCAGCGGGGTGGCGTAGTGAACGAGCTTATCCTTGCCGACGGCCACCTCCTTCAGCCGCATCAGGGAGCCCAGCCTGGCCAAGCTAGAAGGCGATTTATCGGCGTCGAACAACGCCGCCTGCAACTCCTCGGCTTTCGTCTGGGAGATTACCGGGGCCACCTCCGTCGCGATCTTCAGCTCGGCCCCTGCTGTCACGAGGGCCGTGCACTTCGGCGCAAGTAGCTCCAAGACGCGCTTCTCGATGGAACCGGCGACGACAGCGACCGCTGGGAATTTCTGCGCCAGCGCCTGTCCGTCGGCATTGCCGCCGCTAGGCCACAAGACGCTGAGGAGCCCCATGCAGCCTGAGTGAATGGCCTCAGTGGCTACGCCGACATCGTCCGAAGCAAACGCTGTGTGGAGGGAGGGCAGCGCGTCCATGAGCTTCTCAAAGACTGCTGACAGCCAGGCTCCAGTGGAGTGGCACGTCTTGATCGTGTCGTCAAAGAACATCTTGTCCATGGCAATGGTAGGTGGCACGAATGCAACAGTGGCGCACCCCTTGCACAGGTCAACCATCGCCTGCTGGGGCTTCTCCTCGTGGACTTTGGTGGCAAACTCGACAAAGGTCTTCTCCAGATCACCCATCCTGAACTCTTTGGACGCCCTCTCGCATAGCCCCTCGACGGCCCTGGTGCAATAGGCCTCGAATTGGTCGTTGCATTTCTTGATCATCGCACCGTGCTTCGTCTGGAACCCAGTGGACGAGTTCCTCAAGAGACCCCTGTATAGCTCGAATGCCTTCCTTCTGCCACCTCGTCGCAAAATCCTTGTTCTGGGAGAGGGCTGCGACGATGAGGACCTTGCTCGGAAGGCGCATGTGAGCGAGAGCCGAGTCAACGCCTTCCAGGTCGATCAAGTACCCTTTATCGGCGTTCCAAGCCGATGTCGCCAAGAGGATGCGAGCGCGTAGGTAATTGCCCATCGTCTGCAATGCATTCCCTTTCTCCCTCGAGGGAGGCTGCGTGATCGACTTGGCGACGGAAGACTTCTTCTCGGCGGTCAGATCCTCCAATGCCGAAGTCCACTCGTCAACCTTCTCCTGGTTAACATCGCCCGGGTTGAAAAGGACGACGGAAGACACCCCGCCCTCGAACTTGGTCGCGCGTTCGCCGCCGGAGTCGGCGACGGACACCTTCTCTGCCCATGCCTTGACAAACGCAACCGCCGGGGCCAACAGAGGGGCGACGTCGTCGGCCTTCGCGTCGGCAGGCAACGTCATCTGCAAGAATCCGATCGCCCAGGCGCTGAACACCTCGCCGAGGAGAGCGGCTGCAAGCCCGGAGGGTGCTCGACGCGCAAGAGATTCACGCCGAATGGCTTTTGGCGCGAAGCCGAAGCCCAACCTTCGGCATGGACCTCTCGCAAGTCGAGTCCCGAGCGGCTAGAACCGTGCCCCTGCATTCGCCTTCGCGCGAATGTCGTCGAGATGTTCGCCAATGCCACCGAAGGGTTCTGAGAAAGTCACCAACTTCGCCAAGTTCGGCTCGTAGCCGCTGTCCGCGGCCAGCCTACTGCAAGCCGAAGCGACGGCCACGTATGTATCGGTGGTCATGGTGAACTGGCAATGCAAGATGAAGCACAAGACGTCCCAGTGCTTCTCGAGCTTATAGCCCTCGCGCACTTTCGCCAAAGCCTCGATCGCCGAGGACAGCAGGAATGACGATTTAGCATCCGGGTCCGGTGGAAACATCGAGTCTAGCAGCGCACACAGAATTCCCAATGAGTCGTTGGTCTTGCAAGCGTCCCGCCAGGTTGACGTCGACATGAGAGCCTCCTCTCCCTTGAGGCTTTCGATTTTGCTGTCGTACTTCAACTGCAAGATCCTGGCCTTCGCGCGAAACCTGGTTGCTTTCACGGGCCAGCCGCCGCTGCAGTCCAGGAGATCGTCTCGAGTCATGGTGCACATCTCGTTGACGAAAGATTGAACATCAATTGCTAACTTCATCAACGCTGACTCGCCCTGCCCGCCAATCTTTGCCCTCTTGATCACGGGCTGCTGCTTCACTGGAGTCGGCCTCCCCAGGGAAACTTCGCCGTCGTCGTCCTCCTGCGCTGGTGTGTCCTTGAGGTCGGGCTTGCTGCCTGCATTCTTCTTGGGGGGCTTTGACGGGGTGTCCTCTGTGTCCCCGTCCTCCGCCTGGTCGCCGGCCTTCGGCGCGTTCTTGGCCCTGGAAAGCGACGACCCCCAAATGTCCAACAGCAGCGACTCCTCACCCTCGGGGTCCCCACCAACATCCAACTTACCGGATTTGACTTTGACTTCGCCCGTATCCTCGTCGTGGCGAGCCTTCGTCGCTAAAGCTGTCTGTCCTGCCTTGTATGCTTTCTTCACCTGCTCGTCGGTAGAGCCCTCCGCACTGTTCGCGAACTCACCAGACGAAGTCACTCCCACTTTACGTTTTTTTGTGAATATTTCCACCCCTGGCACGGTCAAGTGGGTGCCGTGGGATGCGTCCAGGATCACGCACTTCCGGCCGTCGATGGTCTGAACCTGGTGCTTATTCTGTTTCGGCTCGCACTTCTTCTCCCTCTTGTATACGGCAAGGGGCCACAGGTAGCCGACCACCGACTCGAAGACACACTCGTCGGACTGGTAGGCGCTCACGGTCTTCTTGACCGAGGGGGTGTACTCTTTTTTGGACCTCTTGGACTCCCAGCTGTCAACGTCCTCCATATAGCCTGCAAGGAAGACGCCGTCCGACTCCAACCTGTTGGACAAGGTTCCGGCGTTGTTGTCGCACTGCTCCAGCCATTGCGGATGAGACCGCTGCACATTCGGACACGAGTTGCACTCGCGACCCTGAGGCCGGCGCCATTTGATTTCAAAGCCGCTCTTGGTCATGGAACCTCTCTCTCGCTGGCAATACTTGCACTTCGACAGCACCGCTGGCATTGCGGCAGGCTGAGACCCCAGGAAGTATGCTGCAACAATGTTCGGGAGAAACTCGGGGCTTGCCAAAACACTCCTAACCAGAAGCATGAGCCAAAACAGCCATGGTTGGGGAGGCCGAGTGGTGAGAGGATGAGGGAGAGACGTAAAAATCAACATTCGGTAAAGGCCTGAGACAGACGCAGAGATTACCACCCAGGGCCGATTCAGGGGATGCCAGCCCATCCCCCAGAGAGCCCCCGATCCTCCGCGCAGACTCCGTGACATGTCGTCGGTGGGGCAAGCTCCGTCCCGCAAGAATGTTTGCTGCCATGCCGAACTGTAATCCCACTTAGTGGGATACATACTTCCCAAACAACACAAGACTACAATCAGCTCTGCGCAACCTTGGGGTGACGACGAAACGCAATGAAGCATGAGCCAGAGCAGGCTTCAAAATTACACGAGACAAGCTTTTCCAAGCTCCGTGAATCACCACGTGAATTTTGCATGCGCATTCCCAAACAGTACTTGCGCTAAAGTGTCCGGTGGTCTGTGGTCCTGACCTCCCGCCTGCTTCCGCCACTGGGAATCTTAGATGGCCGCTTGGGGCCTGAACGGAAAACGTCAACGCATGACTGACCCTCGAACCCAGAAGACAATATAGAAACGTAAGACAAGACATCGATGACCATTGTCGCTGACCCTACGTGAATCCAGAGCCGGTACACTACATACCCAAAGAAAGCCTGGGCCGATGTTTTTCAAAGAAACAGTTGCGCTAAAGGCGAAGCCTACCGCCGGCCGTGCACAAACGAGGCGCAGCCTCATGTATTTGAAAGCCCAAAATCGGATGCAAGTGGGGAGGGAGGTGCCACTGGTGGCGGGGCGAGTGCAGCGACCTCGGCGGCGCAGCCGCCGAGGTCGCCTCAGCGGCGCCCACGGCGGTTCTCTCAGGGTCCACTTGGAGCCCTCTGGGTGTTCCCTTGTAGCCTCTCGGGGCCCTGTCGGACCTACCCTGTGCCTTAAGGTGGGATTCAGGCGGCCCCCCGGAGTGTTCCGAGAGGGCCCCCAGTGGACCCCAACAGGGCCCAAGAGCAAGTAGGCCTCTGGAGGCGTTTTGGGGGCTTCTTGGGGGCCTCTGAGGGACCTCCCGTGGAGATTCCAAAAGGGCCCCGCGAATCAAAATAAAATATTTTATTTTGTTTCGATTTCGTTTGTTTTCGTATTGTTTTTGTTTGAAAACAAACGCAGAACGAAATAAAATAAAATATTTTATTTTGTTTCGTTTCGGCCCCTCTTGAGGCCCTGTTGGGCCCCACTGGGGCCCTTCCTGCGGGGTGCCATCGTTTCCGTGCCCGCATGGTGCCAGCGGGGTGGGGCTGGCAAAAATGTTTCTGCCGGCCCCCCCCGCGTGGTGCCCAACGAGGCCCCCGATTTTTTGCCGGCCCCATGTTTTACAGGGTTGGCGAAAATCCACGGTGACCGCCAGCCTGGGCTGGCAAAAATATTTTTGCTGGCCCGACACCCCTGGCACCAACGGAACGCCACAGGTACCGACACCGGCGACTCCAGTGCCGAAGTTGACGACGACGACGACGACGCCGACGTCGACGTCGACGTCGCCGACGCCGACGCCGACGCCGACGACGACGACAACGACGCCGACGTCGACGTCGACGTCGACGTCGCCGACGCCGACGCCGAAGCCGACGCCGACGACGACGACGACCACCGACGACGACGACGACGACGACGTCGACGTCGACGTCGCCAACGCCGACGCCGACGCCGACGCCGACGCCGACGCCGACGACGACGACGACGACGACGACGACGACGACCGACGACGACGACGACGACGTCGACGCATATTGAGTGGCTTGGGATGTAGTCCGGCGGTAACAGACCAGAGAATATATTACCTCAGTGTGGTTGCGAGAATATGCGTTTTTAAGAAAAAACCTCCCCCCTAGACTCCTCCCTTTCCCCTTTGCGTTTCCTCCCATCTCCCTATCCCTCGACTTGATATAATTTGCCTCCGATATAATTTGCCTCCGGGGCCAAGGCATCGTGCTCGCGAGCTCTCGGGCACATTTTTCCTGTGTCCCTTCATCGCAACAGTTTCTGGTAAGTCGCATCAGCCTTCCGCAAAAATCTACACACTGCTCGTGTCTCCAAGCCTACTTCTTCACGCGCATGCCATATGAGGCCTCCAATTTTTGCGCCTCCCGCCAGTGCCCATTCTCGTCGTCCCCCTCTCTATCAGGACGGGCCCTCGACAACCAACGGACCAGGTCATCCTTGACCGCCTCGTGGTTCGCATTGCGATACGTGATCCAGCAACTACAAGTATGGTGACCCTGGTTGCAAGTCATTTTGATTCCTTGGTCGTTGATTTTGTGGAGGGAGCCGCACTTGACCCTGCAGGCAGCCGCAGAGCTCGACGACGCAGACGTGGGTGCAGCCTGGGAGAAGTATTCTGCCAAAAGGCCACAAGTAAAGTTTGTTTCCCGCACCTCGAATCCATGCAGTTTTTTTTGTGGAGGATGCGTTGGCTGAACAGGCTGGGCGGGATCTGCAACAGGTGTTTGGCCAGCGTCGCCACCCTCGTCACCGTCGCCCTCTGCCCCCCCTTGATCAAGCTCATTTGCTATGTGGTTCTCGTCCTCGGCTTCGTTTTCTTCGAGGTCTAGCATAACGTCGGAGATCTCGCGAATGGTGCTGACGCCAACCACCTCGCACAAGCCACTCACGATGTTGGGGTCAGCCCAGGGGTCCTCGGAGACTGGGTCCAACGCCAAGCCCAAACTCCTGGAAAAATCCTCCACGGCTTTCTGGTGGAGATCTGCAGGGGCCCTCGCACTGCCCGAAGCTGACTTCGAACATGCGGAGGCGGGGCGCTTGCTACTTGGTGGTCGGGCCCCGTCCTCCTCGTCCTCCAGGAAGCGAAGGAAATCGGCTGAGTTGCTCGTGGCTTTCGCAGGCGCCTTCGCTGGCTTCGGTTTTCGCACGGCAATCTCCGACATCCGCAATGGGGCGAATGCCGCATCCACATGCTTGACGTTCAAAATGCCATCAACGACTTCATCGAAAAGCAAGCTTTTCAAGACCACCTCCGATGCCAGCGAGCGACTGCCCAATTCCTCAGTAGACGTGCGGCCGCACGCGACCAACTCAGCCACCACCACCTCGTCGAAAAAAGTCGGCATCGGATGCTGGCTGTTGAATGGGCGAGGGCCGGGCGAGCTCATGATCACCAGAGGGTCCATGACCAGATTCACTTGCAAATCGCCGTAATCCCTGCCAATCGCAAGCCCGTCCAAGGCCTCGCACCGCCAAAACGTCTCGGTTGCGTTGTGGTGGCCACTCTGGAACGACGCAGCGACCAATCTCCAGAAGCTGCGTCTACGCACGGTCGACGATGACGCTTCGGCGACGATGAGGAGGTCAACATTAGGCACCGAACACGGGCTTTCGCAACGCTGTGCAAGTGCCTTCAACATCGCCCTGACCTGGAGAAACGTCTTGTGGGCCTCCAGATCCTGCGTGCATGGGCCTTCGCAGTGAGTGGGGTACTGAACGTCCGCTGGAAAATGTGCGGATCCTACGCCCCTGCCGACCTTCCGCGTCCCCCTCTGGAAGTTCTGCGCGGTTACTTCCACAGCTTGTTTTTTAATGAATGTGCCGAGTGTGTCCTGGCAAACCAAATTTCGAATGATCGCATGCTCATCGTTCTGCACATACGCGTCAGCCAAAATCATGGCGTTGCTCTGCGCCTCCCTGAAACGCCCCATGCACAACTCAGCATTCTGAACGGTAGCTTCAACCAATTCCCCAGATGCTTGTGGAAGAGTTTCAAGTTGCAACGTGTTCCCGATAAGCAGACGCCCTGAAGACAATGAACTGGCGGGATGGGCGAACTCTGCAAGGGCACCGGCCGGACCGGCGGCCTGCGGGTGGAAAACGCGCGCATGGGGCGCTGGGAACTGCGACAGCCATGCCTGGCGCGACCCCCGATACGACCGTAGGCCGATGACTTCCCACGCGCCCCATGCGTGAGACCATCGGAGATGCCAGGCACGGCCGTCGCAGCTTGTTGCATCCCACACGTCTGCTTTCCACCTGCACGTGCCGATCATGCAAAGCAGGCTGACCGGTAGCTGCGCGCTGCTCTGCTATGCGGGCAGGTTGCTCTGCTGCCTGGGCCTCAATGCGGCTGCGCAGCGCTTCCTGGTGATGAGCCTCTCGGCGCTCTGGGGGCAACGCGTCAAAATCGGCTTGAAGATGACGACTATATTCCTTTGTAATCTTACCCTTAACTTTCAAATGATCGAGATTGTGGTTTCGGGCAAAACATTGCAAGGCCGTTTTGCCTCGCCTCCGGCGCTTGGGCATCTGTTCGGCGCCGAGGCTCGCGCCGCCGCCGGCCACCGCTGGCCGACGTTGCGCGGGAACTCCATCGCTGAGCGGCTGATGGCCTCCGCTGGGTACGAACGACAGGAATGAGCATCTCTTCAGCTCGCTGCATTCGACAATGATGTATTGAGAAACAATGTTCGAGAACTCCAGCATCCCAGCGGGCCCCGCTGACGTGTTGTTGCGAGCATGCCTGACTTCCACGTCGCCTACCGTCAGCCGTATCATCCAGCACATCCAAAAAAGAAACTGCAATGTGTGAGGGCATTCGAGGTCCGCACCCGACAGCTTCAATGTACGAAAAACACCGTGCGGAATGCAACAGGCCCGCTTCTCCTCGAAACGAGCGCGAAGTGTAGCTTTCGTGCTCTCAGGGGTCCTCTTGTCTGCCAACAGGAAGAGATCGTACTTTGCCAACTCGTGTACGTGCTTCCTCCAAACGAAAGCCATTGTCGCTCGAATGGCAGAGCGCAACCGGCGCCAAGAGCCAGGGTCGCCTCACCGGTGGACGAGCAAGCAGGGAAATCATGAGCAATGGGGATGCGTCTCGGGGATCCGCCACAGGGATTTTTGGAAACACCTGCATGAGACAGGATACGCGTTGAACTGGTTTTCAAAAGCGCCCCTGGGACTCCTCGGAACGAAAACCCACGACC